AAAAAGATGTCCTGCAGAACACAGATCTGATCTCGGGTGCTTGAGAGATTTGCTAAGTTTTACACAGTGCTTAAGAGGTGAGTATCATAGGCAAGAACCCTGGGGGTATAAGTTATGATGTACACACAAGCACTTCGTATTTCGTTGGCATAAACCTGCAGTTTGTGTTTGGGTAGCATTCCTGACAGAGGCAAAATGGAGCATTCAAAATCCTTACCTAGGCAAAACGCATATTGACTTCTGAGGATACTTTTTTCCCTGAGAAGGGCTATGTGGGGAAGGTCAGGACTGGTTGTTTATTCCCAGCAGCAATGCTGTTTCGCTTGCTGAAGAGGCTCCCAGGACCTGTGAGTGGATTTCTACTGGTGGAGCCCCCAAGTGAGCTCATGGCCATTCTCCCCTCAACCTTCAGCAGGTCAGGACCTCCAACTTTCCAACAGTCAGCAGCTCGCCTCTGTGACAGTCTTCTTCCCACATCACCTCCAGCTTTTCTCCTTCACTGAGAGTGTGGTGAGGTGCTGGCACAGGCTGCCCAGAGAAGCTGTGTGTGTCCTTTCTCTGGAGATGTTCAAAGGCAGATTAGATGGGGCCCTGGTCAGCCCGAGGTGGTGGGAGGCAGCCCTGCCCACGACAAGGGACTGGGTCTAGGTGGGCTATATCATCCCTTCCAGCCCAAACCATCCTATGGCTCTGTGATTCTATGATTCTGTGATTCTTGCTGGTGGAACGTGGCACTGCAATGGGCCCTGAGATGAACCCGTCCCTCGGGAGGGACAGCAGCCAACTGGAAGCGTATCTGCCAGCAGCGTCATTGATCATCAGCTGCCGGTAGCCTGAAGCAACTCTCTCGGACGGCTAAAATTGCATCTGGTTTTGTAACAAAGACTCCTCCGCAGTCCCTATCACTTTGCCCTCCAAATACACTGCTTTGCCTCGTGGTGGAGAACGAAGTGCTGCTGAAGGATAACCCGATTTGCCGCCTCATCCTCCAGGCGGGAGGGAAAAGAGAAGGAGGAGGAGGAGGGCTGGAGCCCCGAGGGCCGGAGCTGGGGCTGCTGCTCACCCTAGAGGTACAGCCTCTGTACCAGGCGGAGTAACGCGGGGAGAATCCGGCCCTCCGGATTAAACGCGCTCCCTCTCCGTTAATTGAGGCCTTCGGGCAGTGCTGTAATGCAGCTAATGGCACTAATTATTAATGAATCAGCCCTGATGAATAGGTGGAAGTCTGATGGGCCTCTGTCTGTTAGTCTGTCGGCGCTCCGCAGGGCCGGCTGGAAGGGAGCTGCACACATGGAACCGTAGCCCTGGAAAGAATGATGTCCCTACTTTCCGTTTATTCCCTCCAAAGCGAAAAAAACCCACAGCCAACCAACCCAAGAGCCGACTACCTCCACCACGTCAGCCCCAGCGGGGAGAGGCCGGGCTGGTGCCGGCTGCCGCCGGGTGCCGGGCTCTGCCGCATCCCATCCCCGCTGGAGGGAGGGATGGAGGGAGAGAGGGAGAGATGGAGGGAGGCGGCAGCCCCGCGGCCCCCGAGGACTGCGGGCTGCGGTTGCTCAGTCGGAGCCGGGGACAGGAATGAGGGCAGCAGAGCCGCAGCGGCCGCAGCACCCCCCAGCTCTCTCCCCGCCCCCCCCATCCACCGCCGGCATCAAGTCGGCGTTTTTTTCGGCTGTTTATAATTTTTTAAGTCGGTGACAATTTTCCTGTGGTTCTTTCAACCTTTAAAACCTCTTCTGTTGCGTTTTTCCCGTCCCCATCCCGCGTCTGCCCAGGGCTTAGGGCTGTTCGCAGGCTCCGGCTCAGGCTGCGGCAACGCGGGGCGAGAATCTCCCGCCTCCCCCCGCAGCCCTATGGGTGAGAGACATCGAGGCCCCGCAAAAGCGAGGGCTGTCCGGGAGCTCCCGAGCCCCTCCAGTCTCTCTTCTCTTTTTTCCCCTATTCACCACCGTTTTCTCTCTCACCACAACGGAGGGCTAATTGGGGGGGGAAGGGGGCGAGGGGGAGAGAATTTGCTAATTACGAATAAATTATCCGTTCTAATTCAGCCTCACGCTCAGACAGCTAACGAGTTGTGAATCTCCCCCTTATTTGCGATGTCTCCCGTTTTTTTCCGAGGTCAGAAGAAATAGTAGCGGAGCGCCCTGCCTTGCAGCCCTCGGGGAGGGGTCTCCCAAAGGAGACGGGCGCTGCGAAGGGGTTCGGGAGTCCCCTAGGGCCTCCCCTCCCTCTCCCCACTTCTCCTCCCCCCCCCTCCCCCTTCGCTTTCCCCGTCTGCCATTTGGTGCTGCGGGAAATCTCAGCCACGGCGCCTGACCTCACGCACACGGCGAAGCTCAGAGAAAAAATAAAATCAAATCAATTGAGGGAAAAGAAGGAGCGAAAAGAACCCGAACCACTCCGACAGCGCTCTGCTCCCCGGGGTTCTCCTTTCCTTTTAGTGGCGGTGGGAATGGAACGCAGAGGGAGGGCGGTGAGAACGAACCGCGAGCAGATCGGTGTCTGCCAACGAGATTCTGCACGCAGGATGGATTTTAGCATTAAAAAACCAACATTGCTCGCAGCGCTGAAGGCGCCCGGCGCCGTCGCTGAGCGCATTCGTTGCCGGGAGTCAGTCCGTGCGGGAGATGCGGAGCGGCTGCGTGATGGATGGAGCGCTCCGATGGCTGTTTGCTTACACATTGCATTGCGGGAAGGAGGGGGAAGCGGGAGGGAGAAAAGCGGAGCCCAAACGCCCTAATCTTGGCCAAGGGGGTCAATGGCAGAACCAACCCCTCCCCATCACAACCCGCCGCCGCCAAAGGACGCGTTCCTCTTTGATGTGCACTCCCTATAAAGGCTCCGGGCGCCTATAAATAGCCGAGGGCAGAGCCGCTGCTGCTGCTGCTGCGAAATCAATACCCGCTCCCCCTTCCGCCCCCCAATCTTATTACCGATGGAAGGACTCCGGTGCGGCCCGGCCCAGCCGCCGCTTTCTCCTTATGGGGCCCGGAGCGCTCCGCGGGGTGCGGGGCTGCGCGGAGTTCCCATCTGCGGGGCGAAGGAGGGGGGGGGATTTATAGAGAGCGTTTAAGAAAGAAACGGGAAAAAGAAAAAAAAAAAAAAAAGATTAAATAATAGAAAGAAGGGAGGCTCAGGGTGAGCTGTACGGCTCAGCCCTGTCCTCGCGTGAACTGGAATATTGCTGCTGTTCATCGAAGGATGGGCTCTGGTTCAGCCCCCCTTGCACCAAAGCCTTCTGGGGTACCCCGGCCATGTTGCATAAAAAGGACGACAACCCCCGTTTGAAACAATAATTTTTTATTTTATACTTCTGTCTATAGTTTGTAGCAAATCTTTTTTTTTTTTTTAGTTTTTT